AGACTGTTTGTTTGAAGGACGTTAGTTAGCTAAATCTTAAGATTTATAACGGGCCCTCAGGCTAGGTGTACTGCGGAGACGCATCAACATCTGGCAATCACCTTACTCGAAGAACAGGGTCAGCGTGTGGCGAGCCACGGGACAGAAACGTTTGAAATGTTTACTGTCGCGTGCAGCCAGAAATATTTCTTTTAAGGAGAGCTATAGAATTACTCCATTACCTTTGTTAGACAAAGCGATCATCACGTGACCGCGGCTACGTTCGGCGACAGAGTGTCGCCTCGAGCCAAAGCTCACTATCACTAATCTCGAACAATTACAACCGGATTGAATAACTACAATTGTTTAATTCCAGCTATCGTAGACTCTAGATTACAATGTTGCGGGATTATCCAAAATTCCAGAGGCTCCGCTGTTCTTTCGTCTCCGACAACTATATAACGTCATACGTTGTAACGCAATACTATACAACGACATACGATATAACGTAATACTATATAGCGTTATACGTTATAACGAAATACTGTATAGCGTTATACGTTATAACGTAGTACTATATAACGTTATACGTTAAAACGTAATACTATGTAACGTTATACGTTACAACGTAATAATATACAAGGTCATACATTATAACGTAATAATTTATAACGTTATACGTTATAACGTAATACCTTAGAACGTCATACGTCATAACGTAATACAATGCAACGTTATACGCTATTACGTAATACTATACCACGTTGTACGTTATAACGTCGTACTAGATAACTTCCTACGATATAACGGAATACTACATAGCGTTATACGTTAAAACATAACAGTATACAACGTTACACCTTAAAACGTAGAATTATGTAACGTTATACGTTGTAGCGTAATACTATATAACGTTATACGACATAACGTTGTACTATATAGCGTTATACGTTATAAAGTAGTACTATATAACGTTATATGTTAAAACGTAATACTATGTAACGTTATACGTTACAACGTAATAATATACAACGTCATACATTATAACGTAATACGTTATATCGTTATACCATATAATGTAATACGTTATAACGTAATATTTTATATCGTTGTACCATATAACGTAATACGTTATAACGTTATACCATATAACGTAATACGTTGTAACGTTATACCGTATAACGTAACACGTTGTAACGTTATACCGTATAACGTAACGCGTTATAACGTTATACCGTATAACGTAATAGGTTATAACGTCATTCCGTATAACGTAGTACGTTATAACGTCATACCATATAAAGTATTACTTTATAACGTTATAACATATAACGTAATACGTTATAACGTTATACCATATAACGTAAT